AATTTATCCGATGTTAGTATTCGTACAATCAGTAGAGATCGTTAGATTATTGTTTAAGGTTGACGGACACGCATGTCTTAATTATTTTTTTTTTTTTATTTTTTTTACGAATTGGTCAAACCCAAACTCAAACAAAAACATTGTTTTCAATCGTTATGAGTCTACTGATTGAATAGAATTTTATTATAAACAATTGTCTTGTAAATGGAATTTTTAAAGCATTCTGAATGTTAAAGATAAAGAAAAAAGAGTGCAAGAGAATAAGAAACACTACCTGCCAAAAAAAAAAAAAATTGATGTTTTGTTTTATCGGCTGAAAATATAGGAAATCCGCTCCCATATTTAAAGTAACCCCAACACGCACAAACAACCCGATGTGAGTTGTCCCCCTTCTATTTTCACGATGTCTCCTAATCGTGTTTTCAAATTGATTTTGTGCAAAAACAATTATATTTTTCCCATTTTTGGCGCTGTTAGAACCACCACAAGGTAATTTTATGTAGTCCTGTGAAGTTTTGTTGAAATCGGTTGAAAAATGTAGGAAATCCGATCCAATATATAAACGTTACACACACACACACACACACACACAATCTGCATTTTATAATAAGTAAGATATATATATATATATATATATATATATATATATATATATATTATTACTTTGATCTAAGAAAGTGACTTCCGTAGTACAAGGTAATAGTAGTTTCCATAATATATTAGGATTAATTTTAAGTGGGGATAAAGATGAGTTACTGTATATATTTCTTATAATTATGTCAATAGTTTCACTAACAGGGACATTGGTAAATAAGTTTTCAACATCAAGTGAAGCCATGATTTCATTGTCAGGTTTTTCACTTTTTAGGATTTGGATTACTTCTAATGTTGACTTAACACTATATTTTCTAGGGAGGTAAAGAGTAATGAGTTGATTAATGTATTTTGTTAGATGATATACAGGAGTTAGAATTTGCGATATGATAGGACGGAGAGGATAGTTAGGTTATATTGTAGACCCGGTTACATATACGGCACTATAAAAACACATAAACACATAAAAGACTCTCCCGTCGTATTCGACGTATGAACGTCAAGCAGCTCAGTTCCTAACTCTGACACCAGCATATATGATTTGATTTTATTAGTGGAGGCTTTGTGCAGAACCAACATGGGCCGAATACGTGCCACAAATTTCTCAAACGAACCTTCACTTGTTTTAAATTTAAAGTTGTCCTTCTCCTAGACCAGTTGCCATCCAAGGCTGTAAAACCTTATTTGTCCTGCTATTTACCCATATCATATTAGAATGTAAAATATATTTTATTTTATGGTCTCTTTCTGCTTCTTTTGCGTCCTGTTATACCAGAACAAATCTCGCTAAGCCGGCATTGGTTTAGAAACTAGAATGTTTGCATCATTTTCTTTTACCTCACAAAGACGAGACAATTGACCCTCCTTCGAATTGATTCCAGAAAGTGATCAAGAACATGTCAATTCTGGCAAAAGTTTGATAAAGATCAGATGAAAGAGTCGATTGATAGATACCTAAAAAGGGTAGATATCTATGAGTAGAATCTTCACTGAAAGATAAAAGACGTAGATAAAAGATCGTATGACATATAAATGTCATGAAATCGCGTCATACATCAGTTGAGACGCAGATAAATAATAATGACAAGTAACAAAAAAAAAAAATGATTCGTCTCTTCCGGACGTGACAAGACAAAATGGGAAAATATTAAATGTAAATAGAAATAAAAAATGATAATAATAATAATATATAAAATAAATCCCCGAATGTCCAATATTATTATTATTATTATTATTATTATTATTTGTGTATGTTATATTTCCTGTGTTGTATCCTGTAGAGTCGGACCCAAACTATGGGAGAATTTTCATTTAATTGATAGCACTTTTTTTTTGTATATGTGATTTTCTTAGTAGGGCGATCTTCTAGGCAACTTGTATGTTGATTTTACCTGGGACACTGTTAGTAAAAATGCCCATGCCTTTTCTCACGAGGCCCACAGCTCCAATTACTGTTGGTACATTCTTAGTATTCATTCCCCACATCCTGTTCATCTTGATCTCCAGTATACGTTTCGACATCTATATCTCTGAGATGAGGTATTATGATTACTTGTATTATTTACATTATTGTATTTGGACAATTTCTCGATAATTTTCATGGGGGTGTTTATCTCAGATGATATTGCTTTGTCAATAAGGATAAACTTCTTGAATTTCTTGTTTTTTTAATGTTATATCAGATCTGTTGGCTTTATTTCCCTGTCAGTTTGAATTGGTATGTCCCAGAGGATAGTTACATCGTTATTTTCCTTACCTGTGTCTGGTTGGTGGTCACTCAATCTCTCAGTGGTTTCGATTTTGTGTATTTTGCATATTTTCTAATGCAGATATGTCGCTACCTTGTTATGCATGTGGGTATATTCATTTCTTGCTAGTTCCGGATATCCTGACATAATATGGTCGACAGATTCATTATATTTTCTGCAGATGCCGTATTTCGGGTTCGTTCCATTCTTGATTGTGTGACAATGATAGGATCTGGTTGCGAGGCTTTGATCCTGAGCTATAATAATTAGGCCTTTTGTGTTACCTTTCAACCGTGTGCTACTAAGCCACTTATGTGTTTTCTATTAGTCTACAACTGTTTCTTTCGTTCTGTCTAGGTATTTGCCAAGAAACCCCATGTCCTCTCAGTTCTTTTGTAACTACATTTGGCCAAGTTGTTTCGCTTTCTGTTTTACCCATTTGGCGTAGATAGCATTCGTTTCGGCTTTGTTGTTTGGGTTTCGGGCATATTAAGCTGTTTCTCGAAGAGTGCAGCTTCTTTGTTGATGGAATGTTTTATTATTATTATTATTATTATTATTATTATTATTATTATTATTAACGTAAAAAATAACGGTAATTTTTAGAAAGTTTTAACATTGAGATGAAATGAAACAAAAGCCTTGAAACAATGTATTGTAATTCAGTAAAGCAGATTTGAAGAATTCACAACCAAAATAGAGAGAAATGAAGAACTCAATCAATCCGTTTTTAGACGTTCAATATCTATGATGCATTGATTACTCCTGATATTATATAAACCGTTTTTTTTTTTTTTTTGCTCGATATCTTTCGATGTTAAAAATGGTGGGTTTAATATACAATTGGAAATATCTCTGGGAAGAAAAAGATTAACAACAGTGCGCCAAAGACAGTGACGAATCGCCTATTTCAAGATCAAATTGAAGCAAGAATATCACTAAAAACACACAGTTATCTGAGTGCCTCACATGAAATGCTTTACAAAATAAGACTGTAATCTATGAAACGTAGGAGTAAAGTAACGGGGTAATTAATCGCTTCATTTTGCTCGGAAACTAATTCTGTCTAAATGTCGATATTTTCTTTGTATAGACTATGAAAACAATTAAGTGAAGTAATCACTCATAAATTTAGAAACTTTACTTGATTTATCGCACTTCCCACTACAGTTAGGAGATAAAATATATAAATAAATACATATTGATAATTATTACATGGTTTGAAGATTATTATTGAGAGAGAGTGTATCACCCCAACAAATTGACAGGTGGATACAAATATATGAAGCATAATATACCCATTATGACATTTTTTTATCATTATTATTAATATTTCTTTTGATTTCTGTTGTATGCACATACTGCCAAGAAAATCTACTTACTAGGTAGATTCCAGATACTAAGAAAAGTGGAAAAGTGAAAAATGACAGTTTTCCTATAGAGCCTAAGGACCATAGTTTAGACCCAACTCTACAGGACACAAAGCAGGAAACATAACACACGAACAACAACAATAATAATAATAACAACAACAAAAACAACAACAATAATAGTGTCCCAGGCAACATGAACATAGAAGTTGCCCATAAGATCACCCTACTAGGAACATCACATATACTATGAAAAGTCCTAACAATTAAATGACTATTTTTCTATATAGGTCTCAAGGACCATAGTTTGGACCCATCTCTACAGGATACAAAGCAGGAGACATAACACACAAATAATAATAATAATAATAATAATAATAATAGTGTCCCAGGTAACATCAACATAAAAGTTACCCAGAAGATCACCCTACTAGGAACATCCCATAAAAGTGCTAACAATTAAATGAAAATTCTCTTATCGGGCCTAAGGGCCATAGTTTGAACCCGGCTCTATTGGACACAAAGCAGGAAAATTAACAAACAAACGAATAATAATAATAATAATAATAATAATAATAATAATAATAATAATAATAATCGGTATTATGTTAATCAAAACAAAAATAAATAAATAAGTAAACGATAAGACATCAAAAGGTTGAAAGTAGATATTCCGGATAACATTACAATAATGATTTCTCCCAGAGGAGCACAGTCGATGGTGATGATCACGTCTACAATAACGACGAAGACTTTTGTAAAATAAATATATATATATAAATATATATATATATATATATATATATATATATATATATATATATATATATATATATATATATATATATTTTTTTTTTAGGCCCAGGAAAGCAGAAAACAGTAAGAATATCAATAGAATTAGGAATCATGACGATTATTTTGATAAAAGAGAATCTATGAATGAAGCGTTTTTTCATACAAAAGGATTTAGAAAATAAATAAAAAATACGGTCAAAAGAAAAAAAAAAGTATTCCGAAGAAATTCCAGGAACCGAGACGCGATGGCAATGGCTTAAAAGAAACAATCTCATTAATTTTGAAGTAACCTGTGCTTCAGCTTAGTATTGATTTTTTTTTTTTTTTTTGCCAAAGAGGTTGGCAAAGGTTCGTGCACATCCAATGGACGGCAACAATTTTCAATGTTCCCTGGTTGAAATAATTTAACAGATGCACTACCTATTTGGAAGATAATGGCCGCTTTGCTTTGCTTTACGAACGAGCTTTCATTGGAGTTGCAGGTTGGATTTAATTAGAAATCGCTGATATCCTCAGCCCAGGGTGGGGACTTGGCCACGGCTGAAACCATTGATCGAATAATGACATGTTTGAAGAGAGCCTGATTTTTCCGTCGGGTATTATTAAGAACACTGTAGAAAGAGCGAAGAATGAAAGGAAGTAAAGTAAAATTAGATAGATAGATAGATAGATAGATAGATAGATAGATAGATAGATAGATAGATAGATAGATAGACAGAAAAAAACAAAAAAATTCGAAAAAGAAAGGAAAAAAGAAAAGACGATTAACTTTAGAAAGAGTAAAATAAAAATAAGAAAAGCATGAAAGAAAGATATGTGAAATTATATATATAGATAGATAGATAGATAGATAGATAGATAGATAGATAAAAAATTGAAAGAAAATGAATAAAAATTTAAAAATTTGAAATGCAATTGAATTCAGAAAAAGTAAAATAACAAAAAAAGCAAAAGAATAAATGAAAAGAGAAATTATATATATATATATATATATATATATATATATTATATATATATATATATATATATATATATATATATATATATATATATATATATATATATATATATATATATAAAGAGAGAGAGATAGATTAATATAAACACCTTTCGATAGATAGATAGATAGATAGATAGATAGATAGATAGATAGATAGATAGATAGATAGATAGACAAAATTACAAGAAAAACTGATAAAAATTGAAAAAGAAAGGAAAAAAGAAAAGACGATTAACTTTAGAAAGAGTAAAATAAAAATAACAAAAGCATGAAAGAAAGATATGTGAAATTATATATTTAGATAGATAGATAGAATTAAAAAAATTTGAAAGAAAATGCAATTGAATTCAGACAAAGTAAAATAACAAAAATAACAAAAGAATGAATGAAAAGGAAATTATATATATATATATATATATATATATATATATATATATATATATATATATATATATATTATGTATTATATTATATATAAAGAGAGAGAGAGAGAGAAAAGAGATAGATTAATATAAACGTCTTTAGATAGATAGATAGATAGATAGATAGATAGATAGATAGATAGATAGAAAGAATTAAAAGAAAAACTGATAAAAATTTAAAAACAGAGGAAAGAAAGAAAGAAAGAAATAAAGAAAGAAAGAAAGAAAGAAAGAAAGAAAAGTGATATTCGAAAAATGGAGGAAACAAGCAAGAAAGAAAGAAAGGAAAAATTGAAAAAGAATAAGGATAAATAACCGGGTTTTGGAGGGGGGGAATGAAACAGTAGAATAGAAGAAAAGTAAAGAAGAAGAAAGAAATTAAACCGGAAAAGAAAAATAAGAGATAATGAAATAAACTACAAGAACAAAAAAAAAAATGAAGGAAAGAAAGAAAGAAAAGGAAAAGTGATATTCGAAAGCTAAACATAGTAAAACAGAAAGGAAAGAGGAATGAAAAAATGAAGAAAGAAAAGAGGAATGAAAAAATGAAGAAAGAAAAGAGGAATGAAAAATGAAGAAAGAAAAACGAGGAAAAAACGAAGAAAGAAAAGAGGAATGAAAAAATGAAGAAAGAAAAGAGGAATGAAAAAAAAAGAAAAGAAAATGAAAACATGAAAAAGGAAAAAGGAAAAAACGAAGAAAGAAAAGAGGAATGAAAAATGAAGAAAGAAAAAGAGGAAAAAAATGAAGAAAGAAAAGAGGAATGAAAACATGAAGAAAGAAAAAGGAGGAAAAAACGAAGAAAGAAAAGAGGAATGAAAAAATGAAGAAAGCAAAGAGGAATGAAAAAATGAAGAAAGAAAAGAGGAATGAAAACATGAAGAAAGAAAAAGGAGGAAAAAACGAAGAAAGAAAAGAGGAATGAAAAAATGAATAAAAAGAAAGAAAAAAGAGCGAACGAAGAAAATGAAAACAGAAAAAAAAGAATAAAACTACAAAATAAAGACAAAGTCGAATAACCTGAATGAAAAATATTTTAGAAAGAAGAATGTAAGATAAAATCAAAGAAATACCAATAGAGCTAAAATACGTTATTTTGAATCCCGTAACGGCTAAGGTTCCTAGGCGATCCACACGTACTGCAGCCGAAAAAGCAGTGGTATTTCTTTAGCAAACTAGCCTAACACATCACTGTTTTCCTTCTCCTAAACTGGTTTCCAGCCAGTCACAACTGCTATTTACCGATTAAAGTGTATTTTCTAGTAAGATAATAAAAAGGAACTACAATGGCATTCGAACTCTTATTTTTTTTTTATTTCGAGCCCCTATTACACCACCACGTATCCACAAAAGCTTACATGAAATTACTAAATAAGAAAGAAAGAAAAATAATCTAAAAGGCAACATGAGAATAAAGGAAGAAAAAAATAACAAAAAAGAAAGGAAAAGAAAGTAAATAATGTAAAATGTTATCAATAAAAACATTAGAAAAGAATAAAAAAGGAAAAGAAAAAAGAAAGAGTATGAAAAACAAAAGCACAGACACGGGACTGAAAAATGAAAGTCTTTCAAAATTCTTGATAGGAAACGAAAAAAAAAATGGTCGAATGTCTGATAAGGGATAAAAGTGATAACGAAATAGCCAATAAGAATTAATTTAAAATAAAATGAAAGGAAACAGATAAAAAGGAGGTGTTGAAGAAAGAAAATTGGAAGAAAAAAATAATTAAAGAAAAGAAAAAGTACTAAAATAAGAAAGAATATAAAATGAATGAAAACGGTGAGGATTTAATTCAAGATAAAAAAAGAAGATAAAACAAGGAATGAAATAAACAAAGAAAGAAAGAAGCAAGGAAGAAATGTTTAAAGAAGAAATTGGAAATCACTCTTGCAAGTGAAAGAAAAAAGAAAAGCGAATGTTAATAAAGATTAATACGTAGGAAGAAAGGTTTAAGGCTGTTCTACAAATACTTTCATGGTAATTTTTCCGAGGAACTGCATTCGCTGGTTCCGAGACTTCATGAGTTCAAGCGCCCTACGAGGCTGGCATCCCGCTCTCACCCCTTCACTGTCGAAACTCCTAAATATAGCCGTCTCTTCGACTCTAATAGCTTCATGTCTCGAACTTCTCGCCTGTGGAACTCCCTTCCCTATTCCAGTTTCCCTGAGAGCTATAATCTCCAGCTATTCAAGTGTAATGTCAATCGACATCTATCCACTACCCTTCTCCTCATACCCTCTTCTATCACGTCTATCTGATCTCGCTCTATATTTCTGTAACCCCTTGCGTCCTAGTGGCTTCCCAACTTGCTTGGGGTGAAATGCTTAAAAAAAAAAAAAAAAAAAACTAGCTTAAACGCCGCCCTATCTGGCGGCATTTAAGCTAGCTTCTCTTCAGTGTTCTTGATTGGGCTTTCATCGCAATAGTTAGCTAGGAGTAGATGCGATAGACAGCAATAACCTACAGAAAAACTCAAAATTGATCGCTGTATTTAAGTATTGCATTAATATTTAATCTTATCTATTAAAAGTTCAACGATCATTTTTCTGTCGCCACTTAATTTGAAGAGAATTAGGTCCTCACTTTCCGTACAAACTATTATTGTTGTTTCATGGGTGACTTACGCTGGATTTCGCAGTTAATTTCGATTATTCCCAAATTTATTTCCAAGTTATAAAAATTCGTCGCAAAAATTACCGAAAACAATCGCAGTAATGACAAATTGGGAATCCAGATTTTCAGGATTGTTTGTCCGGATCCGACCCGGACTGTTTTTAATTTGCTCACGGAGTTGACCTGATTCCAAAATGGTATGCTATATTGGGCTATGGTCTCTAGGAGTAAAGTTGAAAAAGTGACACACTGACACACTAATATTCGCATTTATTTATATAGAAGAAAATGAGATATTTAATAGTTAGAGAGTTGTGTCCCTTTAATTGAAAAATGAGAGAGTGACACAGACATTCGCATTTATTATATACATGAAGAAGATAAGATATTTAATTTTTTTTAAGCGACCCCCCCCCACAAGCATGGCGGGAGTATTACTAGTACGCAAAGGATTACAGAGACTGGAAGTAAGAGTAAAGAGACGTGATTGAAGAAAGGATAAAGAGAACGACTGGGAATTACATCAAGACATCAGAAGATGTCGATTGACCTTACATTTGAAAATTTGAAGACTATAACTGTCAGGGAAGCAAGTAAGAAGAAGGGTGTTCCACAGACGGGAAGTGCGAGATATAAAGCTATTGGAGTAGAAGCGAGTGTTGTGTGGTTTTAATTGAAAAAGTGTGACACACTGACACTCGCATTCATTATACAGATAAAGAAGTTGAGACATTTCAAAATTAGATAGTTGTGTCCCTTTAATTAAAAAAGTGTGAAACACTGACATAAGGACATTCGCATTTATTATGTAGAAGAAGATGAGATATTAAATGTTAGAGAGTTGTGTCTTTTAATTGAAAAAGTGAGACACGTAGACATTGGCATTTATTATATAGATAAATGAATTTAAAACGTGAAAGAAGAACTGAAAGTAATAAAAATGTTAAAAAATGAAAAATAACAGTGAGATGAAAAAAAAAGAAAAAAGAAATAAATAAATAAAAGAAAATATCGGTAATAGAAAGAAAGGAAAGTAGATGGAGCATTTAAAAGAAAGTATCAATGACAAAAAGAAAGAAAACTGCACTTGTAAATACAAAAAGAAGTTAAAAAGAAAGAAAGGAGAAGAAAATATGATAAATCGAAAGAAAGAAAGAAAGAACGAAAGAAAGAAAGAACGAAAGAAAGAAAGAAACAAAGACATATAGAAACAGAGAACGAAATACGGAAAGAAAGAAAGGAAATAGAAAAAAGAAAGAAGGAAAGGCAAATAGAAACAAGGAACTAAACAGAGAAAGAAAGAAAATAAAAAGAAAGAAAGAAAGAAAGAAAGGCAAATAGAAACAAAGAACTAAACAGAAAAAAGAAAATAAAATAAAAAGAAAGAAAGAAAGGCAAATAGAAACAAAGAACTAAACAGAGAAAGAAAGAAAATAGAAAGAAAGAAAGAAAGAAAAAGGCAAATAGAAACAAAGAACTAAACAGAGAAAGAAAGAAAAAAAAAAAAAACTAAAACAGAGAAAGAAAGAAAAGAAAGAAAAAGGCAAAAGGAACTAGAAACAAAGAAAAATAAACAGAGAAAGAAAGAAAATAAAAAAGAAAGAAAGAAAGGCAAATAGAAACAAAGAACTAAACAGAGAAAGAAAGAAAATAAAAAGAAAGAAAGAAAGAAAGAAAGGCAAATAGAAACAAAGAACTAAACAGAGAAAGAAAGAAAATAAAAAGAAAGAAAGAAAGGCAAATAGAAACAAAGAACTAAACAGAGAAAGAAAGAAAGAAAATAGAAAGAAAGAAAGAAAGAAAGAAAAGGCAAATAGAAACAAAGAACTAAACAGAGAAAGAAAAAAAATAGAAAGAAAGAAAGAAAGGCAAATAGAAACAAAGAACTAAAACAGAGAAAGAAAAAGAAAGAAAATAAAAAGAAAGAAAGAAAGAAAGAAAGGCAAATAGAAACAAAGAACTAAACAGAGAAAGAAAGAAAATAAAAAGAAAGAAAGAAAGGCAAATAGAAACAAAGAACTAAACAGAGAAAGAAAGAAAATAGAAAGAAAGAAAGAAAGAAAGAAAGGCAAATAGAAACAAAGAACTAAACAGAGAAAGAAAGAAAATAAAAAGAAAGAAAGAAAGAAAGGCAAATAGAAACAAAGAACTAAACAGAGAAAGAAAGAAAATAAAAAGAAAGAAAGAAAGAAAGAAAGGCAAATAGAAACAAAGAACTAAAAAGAGAAAAAGAAAGAAAATAAAAAGAAAGAAAGAAAAAAGGCAAATAGAAACAAAGAACTAAACAGAGAAAAGAAAGAAAATAAAAGAAAGAAAAAAGAAAGAAAGAAAGAAAAGAACAAATAGAAAAAGAAAGAAAATAAAACAGAGAAAGAAAGAAAATAAAAAAGAAAGAAAGAAAAATAAAAAGAAAGGCAAATAGAAACAAAGAACTAAACAGAGAAAAGAAAGAAAATAAAAGAAAGAAAGAAAGAAAGAAAGGCAAATAGAAACAAAGAACTAAACAGAGAAAGAAAGAAAATAAAAAAAAAAGAAAGGAAGGCAAATAGAAACAAAGAACTAAACAGAGAAAGAAAGAAAATAAAAAGAAAAGAAAGAAAGAAAGGCAAATAGAAACAAAAAGAAGAACTAAAACAGAGAAAGAAAGAAAAAAGAAAAAGAAAGAAAGAAAGAAAGAAAGGGCAAATAGAAACAAAGAACTAAACAGAGAAAGAAAGAAAAAAAAAAGAAAGAAAGGAAGGCAAATAGAAACAAAGAACTAAAACAGAGAAAGAAAGAAAATAAAAAGAAAGAAAGAAAGAAAGAAAGGCAAATAGAAAACAAAGAACTAAACAGAGAAAGAAAGAAAAAAAAAAGAAAAGAAAGAAAGAAAGAAAGGCAAATAGAAACAAAGAACTAAACAGAGAAAGAAAAAAAATAAAAAGAAAAGAAAGAAAGGCAAATAGAAACAAAGAACTAAAACAGAGAAAGAAAGAAAATAAAAAGAAAAAGAAAGAAAGGCAAATAGAAACAAAGAACTAAACAGAGAAAAGAAAGAAAATAGAAAGAAAGAAAGAAAGAAAGAAAGGCAAATAGAAAAAAAGAACTAAACAGAGAAAGAAAGAAAATAAAAAAAGAAAGAAAGAAAGAAAGGCAAATAGAAACAAAGAACTAAACAGAGAAAGAAAAGAAAATAAAAAAAAGAAAGAAAGAAAGAAAGGCAAATAGAAACAAAAGAACTAAACAGAGAAAGAAAGAAAAATAAAAAAGAAAGAAAGAAAGGCAAATAGAAAACAAAGAACTAAACAGAGAAAAAAAAAGAAAATAAAAAGAAAGAAAGGAAGGCAAATAGAAACAAAGAACTAAACAGAGAAAGAAAGAAAATAAAAAGAAAGAAAGAAAGAAAGGCAAATAGAAACAAAGAACTAAACAGAGAAAGAAAGAAAATAAAAAGAAAGAAAGAAAGAAAGAAAGGCAAATAGAAACAAAGAACTAAACAGAGAAAGAAAGAAAATAAAAAGAAAGAAAGGAAGGCAAATAGAAACAAAGAACTAAACAGAGAAAGAAAGAAAATAGAAAGAAAGAAAGAAAGAAAGAAAGGCAAATAGAAACAAAGAACTAAACACGGAAAGAAAGAAAATAAAAAGAAAGAAAGAAAGAAAGAAAGAAAGGCAAATAAAAACAAAGAACTAAACAGAGAAAGAAAGAAAATAAAAAGAAATAAAGAAAGGCAAATAGAAACAAAGAACTAAACAGAGAAAGAAAGAAAATAGAAAGAAAGAAAGAAAGAAAGGCAAATAGAAACAAAGAACTAAACAGAGAAAGAAAGAAAATAGAAAGAAAGAAAGAAAGAAAGAAAGAAAGAAAGGCAAATAGAAACAAAGAACTAAACACGGAAAGAAAGAAAATAAAAAGAAAGAAAGAAAGAAAGAAAGGCAAATAGAAACAAAGAACTAAACAGAGAAAGAAAGAAAATAAAAAGAAAGAAAGAAAGGCAAATAGAAACAAAGAACTAAACACGGAAAGAAAGAAAGAAAGAAAGAAAGAAAGAAAGAAAAGGAAAGAAAGGCAAATAGAAACAAAAAACGAAATACGAAAAGTAAGAAAGAAAAATAGAAACAAAGAAGGAAAGAAAGAAAGAAAGAAAGAAAGAAAGAAAGAAAGAAAATTAGATGTGATATTTAAAAGAATATATCAGTGACTAAAATAAAGAAAAAGATTTTGTAATAATAGAATTAAGAAAGAAAATAACAGGGGAAAAAAATAAATTAAAAAAAAAAGGAAAATGCTATGCTTGACATAAAGAAAGAGAACCAGAAAAAAAGACCGTAAAAATTATTAATAGAAAGAAAGGATGAATATAAGAGCGAATGAGAGACAAAAGCATTTGCAAATGTTGAAGTAAACGAGGACAAAGGAAAGAAAAGAAAATCCGATAGTTGACGTTAAATAAAGAAAGAAAGAAAATATAATATTAAAAACAAAGACGAACGAATTGGTGAAACAGTAACACTTATTTGTAAGAGATAAAGAAAATGAAAAATAATCTGATAATATAATGAATTAAAGAAAAAAAAAATAAAGATGAGCTTTTAAACAGAAATATATAGAATGAATAAATCATAAATGAATGAATGAATAAGAATGAAAGTAAATATGAGAAGGTCGAGTCATGTGAAGAAAACTACAATGAATATTTTATCAAAGGCGCTTACCTGAAAGCTGGAAGGCCGATTGGCTACTGTTTGCAATAACAATGAAAACATTTGGAAATAAATAAAAGATAAAGAAAATATACCGGGGAATAGGAAAGATAAAATATTGGAGCAAAGAGGCCAAATTCTGGTTGAAACAGACTTGAAGTCACAGGCAAAAAAGCAACAATACGGAAAAATAAAAGAATCTACCACGTAGCAGGCTTGGAACTTTCCGATGACTGAGATTGGGAGCTAGTTCGCGCGATGGTGTTCGGATTTAGGTTAAAAAAACAAGAACTTACCTATAATGTTCTGAGGACTTGCGTATCAACACAGGAATGCAACAGTCTAATCAACGATTAAACTCGATATTCAAGTCTGAAAACTGCGTTTGAGCAGGACATATACTATTGGCATTCAGCGTTGATACTGATGTCCACAGTGTTTATATTGATTTCTGATCTACTCCTGATACTGGGAACATTTGACCCATAAATAAACTATATCTTAAAAATATATTTGATCACGCACACAAGCACGTAGGTATATATATATATATATATATAGTACAGTATTTACATTAGTCGAAATAAAGGGTTCAGTTCGAAATTCCAACCACCTGAAGAAGGCCTGAGCGTACAACGGCCGAAACGTTGTGACAAATATGGCGACAAAGATGAGGACAATAGTCCGACTAATGTAAATACTGTACATAATACCTCATCTCAGAAATATAGACAAACTATATATATATATATATATATATATATATATATATATATATATAAATACATATTTACATACACACACACACACACACACACACACACACATATATATATATATATATATATATATATATATATGGGATACCAACATATAAATATTGATATATCAAGAAAGTTCTTTAATAAAGTGCTAAAAAATTTCGTATCTGTCTATATTTCTCGGATAAGGTATTATGCGCACTATTTACATTATTCGGACTATTCTCCTCATCTTTGTCTATTTATTTATTACAACGTTTCAGCCGTTGTACGCTCCGGCCTTCTTCAGGTGGTTGGAATGTCGGACTGAACCCTTTTGTGTGACGCGTTTCGTCGCTTAGTACTTTATCGAACAAGAGAAACTACCTATTCAAGAAAAGTACATCGCTCTAAAGGAAGCAGATTCCTGTCAAGAGACATATTTTGTTTTATTAAAATATGGAAAATAACGTTTATAGCAAGAATATCTATATATATATGCATGTGTGTATGCATGCATATGTGTGTGTGCATTTAGGCAGCAAATTCTCTTATAAATATGTTAGATTGAATAAATTACAGACATTATCTCTGCTAATTTTTAATAAAATCTGTTCATACTCACGAATAACCCTCCGTGTATTGATGTTAAATGATGAGAGAGAAATGTGCTATGGTTTTTAAATTACTTTTATTTTCATTTCCCAAGTACTTTCGATCTTCTTCCAAGATCATCTTCAGGGGTGCAAGTAGCACAAAACTATATGTTCTTCGTCTTCTGCTGTGGCCCGGAATTGAACTCACAACTCAAGGATACATGGTCTAGTTGATAAAGACGTTGGTTAGATCCAGTGACTAGACCCAAAGAGTTGTGTGTGTAATACCAGGCCACAGTAGTAGTGAACCAAAATCTTGAAGAATTGCGGTTAAAGGGAAATAACTAAGACATCCGGAAGGAGCATGGCACGTGGAACTAGAACAATCTACCCCGCTGGACGAAATAAAGGATCCGGCTCAAAATTCCAATCAACTGAAGAAGGCTGGAGCGTACAACAGTCGAAACGTTGTGAATATGACAAGGAAGGTGAGGATAAGTATGATTAATGTAAATGAAGGTTTACCTGTTTTTATAGTTGTTATATTTCTTTATTACCATTTTACGGTAATGCATATGTTTTTTCTATGCCTTCAATTTTTGTTATAAATTGTTGTTTTATACTGTTTGCATTTATCGGTCTAATAAATTGCTGTAACCCATGAGGACATATTTAAATTTAATAATTTACGGTAGGCGCTCTCGCTTCATTGTTCGTATAATCATTCTGATAAACTATGAAAGGTTGTGTTATAAAATAAAATAAGACATATCTAGGCTGATTTACAGGGAAATAAACTAACATACTCAAGAGCGAGAGCCGGATGTGAACGGGACAAAGCCCCGTCACAAAATGACCATTATCGTCTTTTACGCATAGGCCCGACGCACGAGTTCCGGTCGAAAAATAAAATAATATTTTAAAGTGTTCCTATTTCTCGACCAATAAAAATGCTTCCCTCCTAATTATACTCGCGTCGTTTTTCGAGCCTGTTAAGCCATAAAAAAACGCCATAAAAGAGGTTACACGGGGAAGTACAAGTGCAGTCAACAGGAGGCCAGGGAAGAGATCTGTCACGGTCAGTCTGGGCAGTCAGCAGCAGTCAGCAGGAGGAGCGTCACGCCAACCAGTGAGAACTACCATGAGAGATCAATCCAGATCGGGAGCCGGCTTATGAACTACACCACAAGGTAACTGTCCCAAAACCACACGTTCCTATTGAAATAAATCACGTAAATCTATTTCTGCTGTTGTCGTATTTCTTTCTTGCAATCATACGCTTGTCTATAACAGTTGGAACTGGTCAAAATGGTGTCTGTTTCCATTGGAGACAATGCAGGGCTTCTGAAAGACCTAATAGCATATGGTCTGTGAATGGATTCCCAGGTGTATTTTACTGATGTCTGTGAGAGCAATGATTGTTTGAGGAGAGGAAATATTTTCAATGAATTAAAAATACCTGTTCAGTATGTATCGCAGATTTTCTTTATCACATCCAAGTGAAAGAATAAGACAATGTAGATACAGGTTTTAAAACCAACAATACATTTTTATACAAATTATTACCAGCAATTAATTTTTGAAGGAAAAATTATTACCAGCAATACATTATTACCAGCAATACATTTTTGAAAAAAAAAACATTGCCAGCAATTCATGTTTGGAAAGAAAAATATTACCAGTAATACCCGTTCGGAAAAATCATATTACCAGTAATACATTTTTGTAAAGAAATATCTTAACAGCAATACATTTTTGAAGACAAATGTTACCAGCAATGTATTTTTGAAGAAAAAATATTACCAGCAATATATTTTTGGAAAGAAAAATATTAGCAGAAATACATGTTTTTTTTAAAAAAAAAAAAAAAATATGACCAGTAATACATTTTTGAAGGAAAAAATATTACCAGCAATAAAAATCTTGTCGGCATTAAATAACCCATTGAAATTGATATGCCGTAAAACAAACCAAAACAAAAATATTACCAGTAATAAAAATCTTGTCGGCATTAAATAACACATTGAGATAGATAAGCCGTAAAACAAACCAAAACAAAAATATTACCAGCAATAAAAATCTTGTCGGCATTAAATAACCCATCGAAATTGATAAGCCGTAAAACAAACCAAAACAAAAATATTACCAGCAATAAAAATCTTGTCGGCATTAAATAACCCATCGAAATTGATAAGCCGTAAAACAAACCAAAACAAAAATATTACCAGCAATAAAAATTTGTTTACATTAAATAACCCATTGAAATTGATATGTCGTAAAAACAAACCAAAACAAAAAATATTACCAGCAATAAAAATCTTGTCGGCATTAAATAACCCATCGAAATTGATAAGCCGTAAAACAAAAACAAAACAAAAAATATTACCAGCAATAAAAATCTTGTCGGCATTAAATAACCCATCGAAATTGATAAGCCGTAAAACAAACCAAAACAAAATATTACCAGCAATAAAAAAAATCTTGTCGGCATTAAATAACCCATCGAAATTGATAAGCCGTAAAACAAACCAAAACAAAAATATTACCAGCAATAAAAAATCTAGTCGGCATTAAATAATCCATTGAAATTGATAACCCGTAAAACAAACCAAAAACAAAAATATTACCAGCAATAAAAATCTTGTCGGCATTAAATAATCCATCGAAATTGATAAGCCGTAAAACAAACCAAAACAAAAATATTACCAGCAATAAAAATCTAGTCGGCATTAAATAACCCATCGAAATTGATAAGCCGTAAAACAAACCAAAACAAAAATATTACCAGCAATAAAAATCTAGTCGGCATTAAATAACCCATTGAAATTGATAACCCGTAAAACAAACCAAAACAAAAATATTACCAGCAATAAAAATCTTGTCGGCATTAAATAACACATTGAGATAGATAAGCCGTAAAGCAAACCAAAACAAAAATATTACCAGCAATAAAAATATTGTCGGCATTAAATAAACCATTGAAATTGATATGTCGTAAAACAAACCAAAACTAAAATATTACCAGCAATAAAAATCTTGTCGGCATTAAATAACCCATTGAAATTGATATGTCGTAAAACAAACCAAAACAAAAATATTACCAGCAATAAAAATATTGTCGGCATTAAATAACCCATTGAAATTGATATGCCGTAAAACAAACCAAAACAAAAATATTACCAGTAATAAAAATCTTGTCGGCATTAAATAACGCATTGAGATTGATATGCCGTAAAACAAACCAAACCAAACCAAACCAAACATGTTTCATTTTTCAGACCTGCCACATTTGTATTCATGCACCTGAATGTTTTTTCTTTTAATAATTTCACCCCAATTATCACACTGAAGCCACTAAGACGCAAGAGGTTACTGAGTGTCAGAAAATCTGGGAAAAATACACTATTAAGAAGAACGGACAATAAAAGATTAAGAACTAAGAAGACAGAAAATAACGAGTGTGATTGTATTTAAATTTTTGACGACCAACGTTAACAGAGAAACAAGC